TCCTGCTTTTTTTTTTTTTGTGGGGGAGAGAGAGTACGTGTGCACGCGTGCCTGAGTGGGGGAGGGGCAGAAAGAGAGAATCTCAAGCAGGCTACACGCTCAGCACAGAGCCCAACGTGGGGCTCGATCCCATGATTCTGGGATCATCCTGGGATCATGACCTGAGCCGAAAGAGAGTCGGACGCTCTGCTGACTGAACCAGCCAGGGGCCCCACGGTGAGTTGATTTCTCAATCGGTGAAGATTCTGTGTTGTGTTTGGTTAAGCAACATAAATCTGTGCCTCACACGGTGGGCCTGCTCATTCAGAAGCTGTGGGGACAAACTCATAAACGCAGGTGGAGACAGACGGAGGAGACCCATGCTCTATTTCGCTGACATTCTGCCTTTCAGATGACGGCCCCTCGTTACCAACCAAACAGAATGAGGAGTTCCGGCCCTTTATTCGAAGGCTTCCGGAGTTTAAGTTTTGGTGAGTGATTCCTTAGGGTAGTTGAGAAAGGCTTGTCCTCAGTGTGACGAGACCGAGAACAGAGGTTCTGGTTCCAGTGGGCCAGCAGTGGCTTCTTAAAGAGATGAGAGTTTCATTGTGTGCTTTGGGCATTGACTCCTAGTGAGTGCTGTGCTTGGCGGGGCACGGGGCAGGTCACAGAAGCCTCTGTGGGACAGCCCGGTGCCGGGGGCTTCTCCCGGTTGCCAGGTAACACCAGTACTCCTTGAAACGAGCGCAAGAGAAGCTGCTTCGGGATAGAGGGTCCCGGGTACGTTGCAGACGTGGAGCTCAGGAGGGAGGGGTGCCGCCCCACACACGGCAGCAGGGCTGGGCCCCTCCAGGGCAGGTGCGGCCTTGGGGACGTCTGCTGTCCCCAGGAGTGCTGTGCTCGAGACCGGGCTGGGATGGGACCTCCCGGAGGCAGTGATGTCTGTGTGCTGTTGCACAAGGAGGAGTGTGACACGTGGACAGGTGACTCCCACAGCATTAGGAGCAAAAACCCAAAGGGAACAAGCTGCCACACTTTTACTTTGCGTCCCTGATGTGTGTGGGGGACGGGGCGGGCCCTCTGCAGGCGTCCACCCGCTGGATGGGGGCGCGGGGCGTGGGCACTGCCTGGGGAGGGAGCGGATCGTGGGTGGGATGGCCCTGCAGCCCCCCCAGGGAAGTCTGCCTTTGTCCTGCCGCTTAGGGAGAGCCAGGGAGGGGTTTCAGTAGGGCCCTGAGTCGGTGGGCCGGGCCCTGAGCTGGAGGGAGCCGCCGGGATCCCCTCAGCGATGCGCGGCCCCGGGTGGGGCTCATTCCACGCGGCAGACACGAGGCCCCCGAGTTGTCCTCGAGCTTTTGGCACGAGCGGTAGTGTTTCACACCCTTTGTGATTCCGGAAGAAAACGGGACTCTCAAGGGACTGAGGAAGCGCGGTGCATGCCAGGCCACTGCTGCCCCAAGTGGGGATGCTGCCGTGGCCCCAGGTGGCACTGACCTCCTCCCCTGCTTTAAGGCACGCGGCGACCAAGGGCATCCTCGTGGCCATGGCCTGTACCTTCTTTGAGGCTTTCAATGTCCCGGTGTTCTGGCCCATCCTGGTGATGTACTTCATCATGCTTTTCTGTATCACCATGAAGAGGCAGATTAAGGTGAGCACGCGGGTGCTGCGGCGCTGGGAAGTGCTGAGCGGAGAGCCCGCTTGGATCTTCTCTGTACTCGGAGCGTCACGAAGCTTCGTGCAGGTTTGCAACAGGGACAGGGCACAGCCCCTTCTCATCAAGGCGGCCAACTCAAATCTGTCCCACAGTCCAGCCGTTAAGCAGACGGCTCTTTGGGGGCCAGGTGGGAAAGGCCCTCAGTTCTGCTGTGCCGTCCTCACCGGCCCATCGTCCTGGGGGCTCAGAGCCCAGGGCCCACCACAGTAGCCGTGTGTCATGCTGACGTTACCCTCAAACAGATCCCAGGGCGGCTTGTCCGCCACCCCCCTGGGTATCAGCGGGGTCCAGGCACCTCCCATCCCGGGGCCCCGGCCCAGCCCTAGCCCTTCCCGCATGTAAGGGGTTTTAAAACCTTTCCCCCCACTCTTGGGATTTCCAAGGAGCTCAGCCGACTCCGCGGGCCCTGGAGGGTTTTGCTGGGTCGCTGGTGGGGAGGGGACCAGAAGCTTATTGGAATCCTGGTTTCGTTGCCCCGTGCGTAGAGAAGAGCAGGATTCAGATTGGGAGAAAACACTCATCACGAACGAAGCCATTGTAAAATGCATCTGTTTGTCCCCAGCACATGATAAAGTACCGGTACATCCCGTTCACACACGGCAAGAGGACGTACAAGGGGAAGGAAGACGCGGGCAAGACGTTTGCCAGCTAGGCGCTCAGCTGGACCCATCGGAGTCTGAGGACGGTTCTGCGCCATTGTAACAATGCCTTCTTCCTTCACATAAAGTAGTTGATTTCGAGGGAGTCGAATTTTCTTTTTAAAAAGGAGCTTCAATTATTTGTAACTGAAACATCAGGTTCTTGAAGAAACTGACATTTAAACCAAATTGCATTGATTTATTTTTCAGTGACGTTCAAGTGTTCAAATGGATGGAATTCCAGTAAACTGCAGGCTGGGAGGACTGTCGGGTGGGGTGAGGGGTGGGGCGGGTGGTCTCAGTTGTCGTGTGGTCCTGGAACGGACCTGCACGGAAGGAGCCAGGTCTCGCCCCAGCTGCCCCCCGCACCCCTGGACGCCACGGCCACGTCGCCCAGCTGGATGATGATGCTAACCTGACTCCTGCGCTTTGGAAGAACATTCGAAAGGTGATTTTCAAGTAACTCTGGGGTTCTAATGCCAGTTTCCCAATTTCATCTCACGAGAGATGTTTCAAGTTGGTCTCTATCATAATGACTCAAAACTCTGTTCTTAACTACCATGATTGCTTTTGAGGGCCTGGAATTATAAATATATATATTATATTTTAATTGTTTGGAATTATTTTGACACATTTCTTTGATACCTGAAGAGTTGTTTTTGATTAATTTAAAGTTGATCTCATGCAGCGGCCCCTTTATAGAAACAACTGGTAAGAGCAGACCAGTTTGTGGGTTTTAACACATGGCTTCTCACTTTCTACAGGAAAACAGAACTCTGACCCGCATGTCAACTTTTTTGATGTGATAAAAACAAATACTCGTAAACATTTTACTAAGTGACTTTTTAATTCCAACTTTATTAAAGAGAGTGTCCCCTTTCTTGTGGAGTCTTTATCTGGAACACTGCAGCTCACCAGTGTTGAGCAAACCCGGCCGGGAGGTGCACGGCCTTTGCAGGGGTGAGTGGGGTGGCCCCGGGGGTGGGGGTGGGTGTTGAGGTGCAGACACGGGGGCTTCCTCCTGCCCTTCGGGGGGGGGGGCAGGCGCGCAGCTCTGACTGACCAGTGTCCCATCCATCTTAGGGGTTTAGGCACTGAATGTTTATTGTCTGGCTTTTCTTTTGCCAATTCGTGCAGATCTGAAATTGAGCTCCTCTTGCTTTGAAGGGCCCGATTCAGACCTTTTGTGTAGGTCATTCGGTATTTTAATCTTGGTATTTAAATGATGTTATCAATCCATACTTCTGAGGCGACACTGTAGCTCTGGAGATGCTCAAACTCCAGACACTTTATTCTTCATCCTGTTTTCCTAGCAAATGCTCAGGCCGCAGATGTGACGGGAAATTGTTTGCGCTCGGTCAGAGCATAGGTAATGGGCCTCAAACCGTGGAGCCTCTCTCAGGCTTCTCTCCATCCGGAGGTCGGCTTCTGTCTGGCAGGGTCATGGGGCCTGTCTTAGGCGGTGAGCTCTGTCAGCCGAGGAGCCGTGTATTCCCGAACAACTGTGTCCAGTCCATCAGATTCCGGAACTCTCTGCATAGGCCTCTCTCACAAGCCCATGACGCGACAGGGAATGTGACATCCTGACCACAGGTTCTTACCCTTTACGAATCTGATTTTCAGTTCACCCTTAACAGCCTGAACTTTCCTACACTTCTGTGGAGCTGGTCTCCTAAAGAAGCTTGTGGCAAAGTCCCGTCTCTGGCAGAAACTAAATACTTTTAAAGACCTAAAAGTAACCAAAAGGCTAGACAGCGGTGACCTGGTGTGTGCAGCCGGCCTGCCCAAGTCTCGGGGAGACTGAGCTCTGAGAGCGGCTGTGGGTTAGGTGTTAAAAAAGCAGAGACCCTCTCGGGCAGGCTGGCTGTGCACCCGGAACCCCGGGCAGACCTCAGCCGAGGTGCAGACTTCGTTTTCTAAGATGGGAAACAAACGCAGGTGTGTTAAAAGGCACGTGCTGACCTTCTCAGGTGGAGGTACAGCCCCTCGGAGTCTCTCTACTCCCGTGAACGGTGTGCCTGAGCCACCGGCAGCCTGCCTCTGGTGACCAGGGCGAGGATTTGGGTCTTCGGGGCTGGCGGCTCGGTGACTGTTGAGCCGCGTTCTCTGCTCTTGGCCACACTTGCCCCTTCGGGCCAAACCCTGACCACGTGCCTCCTACAGAGCCGCTGTCGGCACGTGAACGGTCTGGGGAAGGGAGGGAGACCAGAAGCGACCCGGCTGTGCCGCGGCGGGCATGTGGTGCGGCCGGTCCCCCAGGGGGGCTCCTGCTTGCCGGGGGCTCGGGGGTCCACAGAACGGGGAGCCCCGGCCTCCTTCCCGCCCGAAGGCCCCGGACCGGCCGTTTTGCCAGCAGGTCCGGCCTCTGCTGCCGGAGCTGCTGGCAGCGTTGCTTATGTGACGTGAAGTGAAACTCGAGAATTTTGTGATTTCTGTGCAAGTTGACCTTGGGAACGGATCAGGATTCTCCCGACGTGAAGAAAGACTCGTGGGCTCCTCTGCCCTTGGTCAGGTTAGCGATAGTGCCGCACGTAGACGAGCTTCTGGGGAGGGAACTTCTCCCTGCAGAGAGGGCACTCCGTCTACAGGGGGAAGGAGAAGGGTCACACGGGCGTGGCCGGCGCAGCCCCGCCACAGGCCCCCAGGGTCCCTACGAGACCGCCACAGGCCCTCCCACAGCAGCCTCCTGCAGTGACCCGTGGGCTGTGCACGCCTCTGTTAACTTCAAATTAAGACGATTAAAAACCCCTACTTTTCTCAGTAGTCACAAACCTGAAGGGAAGGCCTTAACCCTGGGGTAGCGGAGCTGGGGACACTGACCAGGCCAAGGAGACGGTCAGCCTGTCCACACGGTGACTGGGCCTGGCTGCCACAGAGGGCTGTGTCGAAAGGGCAGCAGAATCTGCGGTTCCGGGAATGAACGAGCATGTCCTGTCCAGCTCAGTTCTCGTGGCCCCACCCCCAAGGACAGGTCGGGTTCCCTCCTCCCTGGGAAGGTCAGCTGACCTCCCACTAGGTGTTGCTGCCCGGGGCGGCCCCTTACAGAGGCAGCACCTGTGTCCCTGGGGAATCCCTCGAATGGAAGCAGGGGCCCCAAAGTGGAGGCTATGGCACAATCCAGTGGGACCCACACAGTGCGGACACTTCACAGGTGCTGGTTCTGAGTCTGCTCCACCCAGGCTCTGAGGCCACGGCCACCGTGAGCCCCACGCACAGGCTCTATGAACAGTGCCCCTTGGCCAGTGTGTGGAGGCAGGTGTCCTCAGGTAGGAAAGAGGACGAGGCGTTTAAACTGCACGTCATACCCCTTGTTTATCTGCCTCACCTGTGCCTCCCCCCCGCCCCCCGAGGCCGTGGGGGCCCACGAACCCGAGCCCTCCCTGGAGTCCGCATGGAGGGAAGAGGCTGTAGCATTCCCTGCTCTGGTCACCTGGCCAGGTAGACCCGCCATCCTGCGGTCTCGGAGACTGGCGTAGGCAGCTGTGTGTGCTGGGAGTGCCCACGTGGGTGGTCGCGGCGGACGTGTACCCGGCCGGGGAGGGCCCCCTGTGTGCAGGCAAGCAGGGCTTCCAAGGGGCCCCATCGGCGAGGCCTCTAGGGACAGGACCTCGCGGCCCGGCTGCTGCCCCAGCAACGCCTCCAGCTGCACAACCACAGCCCTGACTCTAGGCACGCACCGTGTCCGGCTCATCTGGGAGCTTTAAAAAGACGCACCCGTCCACCCCCCGTGAGAGAAGGTTTCTGGGACAGGCTTCCTCCCGGATTCCTGGGCGGCCACCTGGGCGGACCCAGGCACCTGCTCGTGGAGCCTGCTTCCAGAATCACAGCTAGGGACCCAAGGCACACCCACCTTGGTGTCACACCACTGGGTGATGCACTCCCAGCAGAACAGGTGGCCGCAGGGCGTGGCTGTTGAGTGTCGGCGCTCCTCCAGGCACAGAGTACACAGGGGGTTTCTGGAAATGGCTTTCTCTTCCACGTGGCTCCTGGGGGTGTGGCAGGGAAAGACCGTAATTTAATCTCCAGGGTCCTTGCAGTGCTTGCCCTGAGCCACGGCAGTGCCCAGCATGGGGATGCTCAGGCCACGGCCCTGCCCCAGGGACTCACGCGAGCCGAGACCCACGCACCTGCGATGAGACAGGCCGCGGTGTAGCTTCCACTCCCGCCGTGCGCGCTGCCTCTGCCGAAAGCCGTAGAGCTGCAGGCCCACGGACAAGGCCAGGTGCAGCAGGGAGATGAACCCCAGCAGCCTGTAGCTTTCACGAGCCCTTGTGTCCTCTGCAGGTGGGGAGCGCACGCGAAGCTGTCAAGGGCCAGAAGGGACAGTCACGTGATCGGTTGGCACAGAGCGCCAAGCAGCATGGGGGCCAGGACGCCCCCTGGCAGTAGAGTGCTCCACCGGATGAGGCCAAACCCCACCCTCCTGGCACAATGTGGCGGGGCGGGGGCGGGGGGGCTCTCGGCTGAATCAGGAGGGCAGGGGTGCCTTGCAGGGGCTGAGTACCGGGCGGGAGACGCTGCTGGACAGCTCAGCGCCTCGCTCCCAGCGGGACCGAGTGCTGAGCAGGGGAGGTGGCTGTAGGGCTCCCAAGTCTGCAGTCACTCTAGCTGCAAGTGAGAATTTGGAGGGTGAAGGGATACATCTGGGGACCCACACTGCAGAGAGACAAGGCATTGGCAGAGAAGCCTGAGAACACCCATGGGGCAGGGAAGCAGCACCCGGGCAGGTACCGCTAACCAGCTCGTGTGTCACATAACGGAGAAGCTCCCACTTTCAGCGAGACACCTGCCCCCGGGTGACGCTGCAGCTAGTGATGGGGGCAACTTGTAGCCACAGCCCTGAAGAGAAAGTTGGCTGCCCTCCACTTCTGGTCCCCCTCCCCTCAGCTGGGAGTCCCCAAGCCAGGCCCCCTGCATCCAGGCAGAGAAGACTCGGCAGCAGTCCCCCAAGGCCCCAGGAGAGCAAAAGGCCTCGGTCCGGGTTGAGCCCGTGTCTCCGGGCCCTTCGCCACGGCAGCTCAGCACACACCCTAGGTAACACCAAGGGCGGCGAGCCGTCAGCCCTTGTGAGTGGGCACGGAGGGCTGAGACTGGAGAGGAGAGAGGCAGGCACCCGGGAGAGTGCTGCCGAGCGAGGCGAGGAAGTGGGCAGTCGGGGCCCTGAGGCGAGACTCTCCCGGTGAATCTTGAAGCAAACGCATCAGGTAAGAAACAGGATGCGAGGTGGAGCTGACCGGAAGGCTTGGATCAGGGAAGATCCCGGAGGCAACAGGTGTCCCTACACGTGCGCCTCCAACGGGGCAGCTGGGAAGGGGCTGGCGCGGACCCAGGAGCCTGGAGCCTCGGGCGGGCTCTCAGAGTAAACAGCGGAGCGGCTCCCAAACGCTACCTCCGGAGGAGAGATGTGCCCTACCCTCAGGGTTCCTGGAGACCGTACTTCCAGGATCTTCTGGCAAAACGTGACGTGATAAGAGCCTCGCTTTTCGGTAGAGGGCCCTGTGGCTGTTCCCCAACAGAAGCCGAGACACAATCGGTCCAGAACGGAGCGAGCACGGACGGCACCTGCCACTTACGTAAGTGACTCCCGTGAGCCTCTTGGCCAGGTGGTAGAAGGCACCGTGGATATAGAACCAGGCAACGTGGAGCCGCTGGAGGCAGGCGAGGCCCTGCCTGAGCACCAACACGGCCCGCAGGAGCACCCTCTTCTGCTGCTCGGTCAGCGCGGCCACGTGCCGCTGCACCCAGAGCCTCGCTCCCGGCCGGCCGCGCCTGTCGGCTGCCGGGCTGCCCTGCGAGGGCCTGGCGCCGGCGGCGTCCGCCTGCAGCTCGTGCTCCAGGTGCGTCGAGGCCCGGTCCAGCAGGTAGGGCAGGACGGTGTGCAGCGCGACCAGCACGCCACGGCGCAACCTCGAGGGCACTCGGCTCTGGGACGGGTCCACCTGGATGATGCCAACATACTCCTCCCCGAGGGTCTGGTAGCCTGCCGGGGTTGGGGGAGGGGGGTGACGCACGTGAGAAGACTGAGGCCGGGCCCTGCCGTCCCTTTCTTTCTCTCTGTACCGGATCTTGCTCTCTATCAGGTCCCCGCCTTTCCTCTGAAGGTGCCGCACTGGGGCCCTGCTGCCCTTGCTCTGTGACAGGGCTCAGCGCTGGGACCCCTGTCCGGCCACGGAACTCAGTCACAAACAGTCCCAACGGGACCTTGGGCAAAGTCCAGGACAAAAGTCCCCAGAAACAAAGGATGAGAGAACGGCACAGATGTGACCTCAGAACTCTGAGAGGCTCCAGCTGGGGCTCGGGGTCTGGCGTCTCCTGCAGGGGAGGGGTCAGGGTCCCCTCCTTCCCTGAGACTGCATCTGGGCCAGGGACACTAGGAAGCACCTCCAGGCGCTTCTCACTCTGCTGGCAGCTCCCCCACCCCTGTCCCTGGGCTTGGTGTGTTGTGGGCCCCTTGGTCTCAAGGTCCCCCCTGGGCTGTTACCTGCAAGCGTGGTGAGGCCGAAGTAGGCCACGTCCGACAGCAGCTCGATCTCTCTCCTGCACCGCAGCCACCTCTTCGCACCTGAGAGGAGGGGCGGCGGGGGCGAGGTGGCAAAGTTCAGGACCAACGCTTCCCGCTCCTCCTGCCGCCAAGGCCCAGCCACCCCTCCGCAGGGCTGAGTCTGTCCTAAGTCACACCCCTTCTTGTCCTGGTCTCCCAGCTGTGTACCCGGCCCCAAGTCTCCTGCCTCGTCTGGGCCGCTGAGTCTCCTGAGAACCTCCCCACCTGCGGCCACCCGGCCCTCTGGGACCCACCTGGGTAACTGTTCTCGAGCCCAGAAGGGCCAGAAGGACAGGCACTGTAGCATGGTGACTAAGAACCCAAGCCGAGCCTGCCGTCCGGCATCAAATCCCAGCCCCTCGCGTTGCTGGTTGTGACCTCAGATAAGCTACCAGAGGTCTGTGGAACCCCAGTTTCCCTCTGCAAAAAGGAATACATCGACAGAGTCCCGCCTGGGAACGACGTTTTGAGAACTAAACCGGTGGTGTTTGTGAAGCACCGAGAACGTGGTTCCACACAAGACGTGCCAAAGTAAACGTGCCCCCCGTTTCTTCCGCTCGCCCCTCTCCCTGCCCAGAACCCCTAGCCGTGAGTCCGCAACCCGAGCCTGGCGTCCGAGCGTCCCCACTACCTTCGCCCCCAGCCCTGGACTCCCGCTGCCCGGAAGCGCGCACCAGTGCCCGGGCCTCACCCCTGGCCCCAAACCCGGGCCTCACCCGCCAAGCTGTGCAGGGCGCCGCCCGCCGCGCTCCGCAGCCCGCCGCGATAGTAGTCGTCCTTTTGCGCCGCGCGAACCACCTCCGGAGGGCCGGCGGCCGCAGGGACCATGATCGCTGCCCGCCGGGTGCTGGTGACCCCCGTGGCCACGCCCACGCGGGCGGCGCCCGATGACGCAAACGTGTGGCGCAGGCCTTTTGCGTCTAACGCAGGTGGAGGGACGCGGGCGGTGCGGGGGGCGGGGCTGACTGCTGCCCAGGCGGGGCGGAGCCGCACGAGCGGCGCGGGTCAAACCGCCACGACTCCCATTCAGTCCAGAGATCATATGGCGTGAGCCAGACAACCCCAATCGAAACATTGTGGGGAGACAGTCTGAGGGCAGAACCATGCAGGGGACTGGGGCAATCTGGAGGCAGACCGCAATTGATAATGAGGAGCCGGGGGGGCCTTGCAAGTATGGAAGGGGCCGATATAATGTGACAGGGCGACCAAATGAAGAACGGAGCTCAGGGCCGTGAGGGGTGGTGAGCAAGGCAGGAATGAGGGTCAGGCAGAACCGTGAGGTGGAGGGGCAAATGCAGGCAGGGGCCGATGAGGGCAGGGGCGATCACTGAGGCAGGCAAATAGGGGCTAGGGGAATGGGCTGTGGGGCTGTGGGGCTGAGAGAATGGGAGCGTTAGAGCAATGCGGAAGGGGCCAGTGAGACCGTGAATGAGACGGAGCTTAAGACCCCATGAGCTAACAACTGTCTGGGGTGGAAGCAGAACCGTGAGGGCAAAGTGTCTGAGACAGAGTGTATGGAAATGGATAAGATAACGAGCAGACATGATCATAGAATACCAAAGGCAAGACTGTGATGGGTCAGAACGTCTGAGAACTTTATTATGAGACTGGTGGAGGGCAACCGCAATTAACGGCAAGGTACTGTGGAAGATGGGAGCGCTATGGGGTCAGCAGACAAGGCTCCAGAGATCAGGGAGACGGTGATGGGGCAACGGAGCCGATGGAGGAATGAGGATAAGATAAGTAGGAAGAGCCAAGGGAGCAGGGCAAAATGAAAGTGCAAGAGGCTAGGGAAGGCAGGTAAGTAGGGAGGCGATACAGAGGCAGAATGATGCTTATGGCCAACGAGGAGTGGGGGCAAACTGCGGTGGGTGAACTCATCCCAGCTAGCTCCCCGATGGAATCAGAAGGATGGACGGCAGTCATTGTGGGAAGGGAGTGGGCGGGGCGGGAGGGACGGACGGAGGTGGGTGCGGGGCGTGGTTTGGGGACCGGGTGCGAGTGCTGGCGTTTTCGGCTCCGGAAGCTAACGTGGCGGCTTCGAGGTGAGCCTTGCTCCTGGATCCACGGTGAGCGTGACGAGACAGGCACCGTTCCACATCCGCAAGTGCCGACCCTTGACCCCTGTCAGCCTCTCTGCTCACAGGGGAGGGGCCCAGGGAGGCCACACGCCGGAGGGGACGGCGCTGGGAGAGCCACAGCTGGACCGAGCTGCGGGAGAGGAGAGGGATGATTGAGGAAGGTTCGAGTGTGCCTGGAGGCTTGGGGCTCTGTGCCCCACCCGCTGCCCGGCAGAGGAGGGCAGGGGGTGCCGCAGACGGACACGGCTGGCGCCTGCGGCTTGTCCTGTTGGCACTAAGGAGAGTGCCTGGCTACGGGGCTGGGGAGCCACTGAGCCTACGGTGACCTTGCCCGGGAGGGCGTGGGGCGGGACGGCCGCGGCCTTGCCCTCGCCTCTGCTCCCATCTCCAGGACCACCGCCCACCGAGGTGCAGCCGGGCAGTGGCTGGGCTGTGGCTCTGAGCCAGCCTCCGCGCTAACCGGAGGTCCCACCAGCTGTGGCCAGGCCCTTCCTAGTGAAGCCCCCTGGAGGCGAGCCCCTGCCCACGTCCCTGTGCCCCGCAGCCAGAGGCTGCCTGAAGCTGCAGTTGGCACCCCCGCCCCCCCTTCACAAGTTTCTGACCAGCTACGTCTGACAGTCTGAAACGCTCAGCTCCTTGCTGGCCCCCAAGACGCCCTGGCCTGTGGGTTTGCACAGACGGCCCTGGTGTTCACCGCAGCCAGTTGGTGGAGGTTCGGGTCCCTCACTGCCCCGTCGTGCCCACAAGCGGGTCCTGCTCGGGACTGCACATCCCAGCATCTCTCCTGCTCAGCCTCACGAAACCATATGACCAGAAACCATGTGACCCGGCGTGTGTTGTTCTGGGCAGGTGGGGCCTGGGTCCCCCGGTTCAGATCTTCGTTTCCCCCCTGGCGCCGCCCCGCACCCTCGCTGAGAGGACTTCGGGTTGGGGGTCAGACTGAGGAACGGCCGGCAGGTGGCGCCGTCGGCCCATCTGCTCTACGGGGTCAGAGGGTAGAATTTTAGAGATTAGGGAGTTTCACCCCAAAGAGTGAAGCTGGATCAGGATCCAAAGATGTGGCAGAGTGACTGTGATCTCTCCCCGGGCAGGAAGGTGAAAAAGAACAGAGTGGACCTCAGGGAAGTGGCCGCCTGGGCCGGGCTTGAGGTGGCCGAGTCCAGCCCCTGTGGTGGGAGGCGGGGAGGGGGTGTTGTCCACCAGCTGGGCCTGCAGTTAAGGGGTGACTCCGTTTTTAAGCTACTGGGTGCTACTTGCTGTGTCCAGTGGCAGCCGAGCCGTGGGCCCTGCTGACCAGGAGCCGTGCTGGGCTGGTCTCTGACTCAACCTGCTGTGACTTCGGCTGGTCCTTGCTAGCTTGCAGAGAGCTTTCGCACACTTTCCACCTTAACTCCACAGACCTCCGTTTTTTGCTCTGTGAAATGGGAACACTGATAGAATGAGCTGGAATTTATTAAGAGCCCGCTGTGCCAGCACATGAGTCCCCTGGATCACAGGCTGCCCTTTGAGCAGGAGTGTGATTCCCAGCACTCAGGATCCTCTGTCCCTCCTCCGGGGTGCTTGCCCTGGACCCTCTCCTGTGTCCCTCCTCCAGGGTGTTTGCTCTGGTTCCTCTCTGAGCCCTGCTGCACACCTCACCCCAGGTCCCCCGCCTCATCTCCCGCTTCCACCCAGCACCACCCGCAGCCTAGTGGGCAAGCTGGTGGTCAACTCGTCTGTGTCCCTGTGCTTCATCTGGGAGGCTGGCTTCACCTGGCGGAGCCTCCCTGCTGGGGTGGCTGCTGTCCCCTCCAGCCCGGCATGCACAGGTGCCGGTAGGAGGGGAGGAAGGAAAACCAAGATGGGCTGGCTTGTTGTCCTAATTCTAAGATGCTCCCACTGTGTGACTCCCTGTCCCGAATTCCCAGGCCTCAGGGTCCTCCTGTTAGATAGCGGGTGGGGTGTGCCCTTGTCCTGGGACTGGGAGGGGGACTGTTCCCCGGGGCAGGATGCCCACCCTGGGGACGGGAGGTTGAGGGACACAGGACGTTGGAGAAAGCTGCGTGCATGTCCAGACAGCCACACGCCTGGGTGCTGGGCCTGGGCCCCTGACTGGGCAGGTGCCCTGGGGGTGGAGGGCAGAGGTGGGCACTGCTTCCTTTTGTGGGGAGCGGCTCTCAGACAAACCCGGAGAACAGGTTTGTCCACCCCCGTGGCCGCCCCGGAGGCCTGGAGGCCCAGAAATGCCCCTCACTGCACCGACTGGCACTCGAGTGCGGTGGCACACACACAGAGTGGGCGTGGGGTGGGGGCAGCCTGGGGAGGGGAGGGAGGCCCCGGGTGCAGATGGGCAGCACCTCCAGGACCGAGCAGGGGACCCCCGCCAGCCCCTCGAGCAGAGACCTCGTTCAGCCAAGCAGTGGTCCCACAGCAGGAGGCTCAGTAGCTGGGGTCAGGACAAGGGGCCAGAGTGCAGAGCCCAGGTTGGGGGCCTGGGCTTGCCTGCGAGGTCGTGTCAGTGGTTCCAGGGCATAGGCGAGTGGCTGGGGCCAGTGCATCCCTGTGCTCGTCAGGGATGGGACTGTCTTGGCAGAGTTGCGTGTCCGACGAAGCAGAGTCCGCCTGGGGTTCTGGGGCTCTGGCCCATGGTCAGGGTTTCAAGGGAGCCAGGACAGGAGTCTGCACTTGGGAGGCCAAGGAAGGTAGGGGCAGAGCTAAGAAATCAAAGCTCAGAGAGACTGTGCCTTGTTCAAAGCAGGCACCTGGTGATCCCAGGTCTGTCTGGCCCCACATCTGTACCCCAATGGTTCTGTCTGTTGCTGGGTGGGGGTGGCTGTCCATGTATGCGTGGCCGTCATCCTGGGCTGAGCCGCTTGGGCCCAGGGAAGAGATGATCCAGGAGGACTTCCTGGATGAGGAGGCTTTGCACCGGCAGAAGGAGAGGGAGGGCTCTATCCAGAGAAGAGGTTGGGGTGATGGGTCACCCTCCTGGCCTCCCGTGGGGGTCGGGGGAGAAAGGAAAGGAGGGAAGGAAAGGCCAGGCCCCCGCGGCGTGGGGTGCCCCGAAGTGTGGGGACTCATGGGCACCAGGAGGGCCAGACAGGGAGGCCTCCGCAGGGCCACGGGCCGGGCGGGGTGTTGAGAGCAGCACAGAAAACCCGTACGTGCACTCCACTCCAGCCAGGGGAGCGGCCTCCATCCCGGGAGCAGGGAGGTCAGGCCCTGTCCTGGGGCCATTTCCTGGGTGGCCACTTTGGAGAGACCGTGTGCTGGAGACACCCTCCTGTGGCGCCACTGCCTTCGTCCTAGCGGGGACCCGGTTGCCGCGTCTGCGCAGCGGTACGATCCTGGGGGATCCTGGGTAGGTCCGTACCTTTCCTGGGCTTCGGTTTCCGGGTCTGCTGGGTGGGCCCTGGGGGGCTTCAGTGCCGCATCCAGTTGGTTCTGAATGCGGGGTTGGCAGATTTGTCCCAATTCACAGAGATTGGTAGCTGCCAAGGGCACCAGCACACCCCCACCCCGCTCCTCTGGCCACCTCACGTCAGTGAACCAGAAGGAGGCGTGTGGGATATTTTAGTTAGCGGGGCCCCAGCGCAGCCCACTGTGGCCCAAGTGTGCCGGGGTCCTCCCGCAGGCGGAGGGCAGTGGGGGCCCCGGGCCCGCTGGAGGCCAGTGGGCAGGAGCTGAGGCCTCCAGCGACAGGCTCTGGGTATTTCTGCCCCTGCCCACACCGTTGTGGCTCATTTATCAGACAGGTGTGACCTACCA